GATTGAGAGGGTCTGGAGACCTTTAGTCGAGACTGCAGACTGTTTAAGAACCTCCCGCAGTATAACTATCATTGAACTTCAACTTGGTGAATTACAACCTGGCTTAACTGCAGTCTAGAGGGAACCATATCTGGGTGACCTCTCTCAACTTTCACTGTTTTTGCTTGCTAGTTTAGTTAGACCTTCACTAAACTTGAACGGCTAAATAATAAGATTTTCACGGAGTAGTCATCAGACCTAGGACACGGGTTGACATTTATAACTAAACCCGCTATACTACGCATTGGTAGATGGTTACACTTGGCCACTTTCTAGTGTGACAGTAGAGGCGTGTAACCTCTTTTAGAACCCGCTAGGTCGATGCCAAATGGTCGTTACTAACTACACTTATAACAAAGGCCAAGCGAACCAATGATATGATTGTAGTATTGTGTCACCAGTAATAAAATATTGAAACAACGGGTTTCTAGATGTACTATTACTTATCTTCACTTTATTATTGAGCAAATTAGAAGTTCAGATTCAACGCCTACAACTACTCTAACAAGCTACATAAAAGGTTAAACTAACTAGTTACAGTTTAAGAAATCACTTAGGTGTAATTCCCCCAAGCCACTATCCAGATTAATGATTGATGATTCTCCAACTTGTTTCACTCTTCATTCATAATGCAAAAAGTATTTAACAAGCCTTCAATCTCGATTAAATTAAAGGAGACAACACCCTCTTTGATATACTACTTAGTTGGCACTATCCTCAACTAAGATAGAATATCAAGTGAATTCAGATTTAGACTCCCTCTACCGGGTATGTGTCTCACCCAATACAAAGCAATGAATCGACTCTCTCTCGCATAACCGATCCCCTACTTCCAATCTATGGTATTATATTGAATTAATAAGGTATTCCCTCTCCTATATCAAGGTAGGATCAATAATCTCGATAAAAGGAGAATTGAACCAAAACATGCATATGTTGAATATGAACTCGAGTTTAACTAGTAAGAGTATGCATGCAATCATCAAATCAAACAAACACTCCAAAATTGTTCCTAAGTCGTTTTTTCCCTAGGATTTTTCCCTTGGGTGTTTGGAATCCAATAACCCAGCTCTCCCATTCAGAACTCGCATAAAATCTCTATAATACCCTATAATGGCAAAAGCACGACCATAAATCACGATCGTTGTTTTTAGGTTTCCCCTCATGCATCATCAAAACGTACCACCTCATTTATGGTCTTTAGGAGGAAAAAAACACTGGAAAAAATAACCCCCGTGCTTTTGCCTTGCTAGCCCATGATCTTTTCCAAAAAATGCCCCAAAAAGGAACCCGCGTGCTTTTGTCTTGTCAACCCGTGTTTTGGGGCAGAATTTCTAGAATGCTTGAACAAGCTAGGATTTGATTGTAACGCCCTTAATTTTCATACCCATAGCCGTGAAAATCATTGTGGGCCTTCTTTTTCTCTTTTATTACTTCCAAATATCACGAAACTCAATCCCAATTTCTCAACTCACTCTGGGAATAATATGACAAAACAACACACCCTAGCATAAAACTGCCAAATGATAGGGCATTTTCATGATAAATGGTCAGAAAACGATCAAGAGATAAGGGGCAAAGCATGTATAATTAAGCATGCATTAAAATTCCCCACACTTACCTTTTATTTTTCCTCAATTAAACCAAGTATCATACAAGATTCACTAAAGACATATGTTCAAAAACCAGTTTGGACGAAGTACTAGGGGAATACGAAAGTGAATCACAATTGGTCAGCAATATCAACACACGAAGCAACATAATAGTGACACTAGTAGCCACCATAGAGGACATTCAAACACACCAAGTTCATTTCAGTGAACACTCCTCATTAGATTTATAAAATTTTCCTCAAACACTATCAATCAATCGTAATGTCAAACTATCCTTACCCGCATTTAGAATACGAAAATGAATCACTCAACACTCGACCAATGGGGTCAGGACCACAATTTATGGAAAAGATGTGCCTGTTATAGATCTTAATCATATCATCTCTCTGTCGTGAAACTAGCTTCTAACACTTTATGATGCAATTGAATCTCCATAATAGAGTCACCACTAATTTTTCAAGAGAGCTTTTAATCGGGTTGTAACTTGATTAGGGTCTAGGGCATGGGGGAATAGTTCTTTAAGTTGGTGACTCACATTTACTTTTCATTGGTTCCACTGAACATAGATCAAACCAAATAAAACTGAATTCATCTCTTCTTTGATAAACTTTAAGCATGGGAGTATAAGAGAAAACTTTCAACTAGTAGGAGTAGCTTAACCATTGGGCCAGAAAATGACTTATTTTCACATTTATAAATTTTGTGGTTTCTCTCTTTATTCCTTTTCTTTTCTGTATTTTTCATTTCTTTATATTTTCTGAAGAGCAAAAGATCAAAAAATCATTTTTTCCGATGATTTCCTCCCAAAGTCACTTCATCATGAAGTAGAAAATCGTGTAAAAACCAACCATGTGAACCTTGAAAAGGGATCAAACAATTGTAGGCTTGAAAAAATGGGATTGGCTTTAAATATGGTGGTAGTAGCAAAGAACATATTAAAGTTCATCGGGTGTTGACTAAGGGGTATTATGATTAGGGTAGTCAACTTGACCACGGGCTAAACCTATGCCTCCATCTTGCTAATTAGTGGTGTCACGATTAGTCTCATGAAAAGTTTATGCAAAGAGGAAACTAATCTCACATGAACGAAATGAACAAGCAAAGTCTCACATTGATACCTAGATGCTCAGTTCCCCATACAAATTCCTCACTTTCTATGACTAGACAATCAGGGATAGTGATAGATAAAAAATATTTGTCAGGTTGTTCTACCATCAAATAAAGACCAAAACCTTACATAATATCACTCCCATTCTTAGTCATCGCTATAGGTCACCAATGCGAGGCGGAGGATATTGCTCTGCTGGACCAGGAGTTCTTGGCCCAAATCCTGGGAGTCAGTGTGGTGGGGGTCCATGATAAGTACCTAGGATTGCCCACACTGATTGCCCGATCAAAAATGGCTACCTTCCGATATTTGAAGGAGAATGTGCTTGAGAGACTGCAGGGGTGGAAGCAATGGACATTATCTTGGGCAGCAAAGGAAACTTTGGTTAAATCCATTGCTTTCGCTTTGACTTTGCATGTAATGTCCTGCTTCAAACTCCCTTTATCTCTATGTCGGAGTATGTGGCTCGGTTCTGGTGGGGTGTGGAAGAGGGCCAGTAGAGGATTAGGTGGGTCTCCTTGCGCAAATGTGCAGAAGCAAGCATGAAGGGGGTATGGGATTTCTTCGTTTTGAGCATTTTAATCAGGCTTTGTTAGCCAAGATTGGTTGGTGCATCCTTACTGAACCCCACTCATTATTGGCCCGAGTTTACAAAGGCAAATATTTTCCAAGGGGGACCTTTCTCCATGCCACGGCTCGCTCTCGCCCATCGTGGGGTTGGCAAAGCATCCTTTATGGTAGACAATTATTGGACATGGGGCTACGCTGGCAGATTGGTAATGGACAACTTGCCTCGCTACTTCAATCCAAATGGATCCCTAGGTTGCAGCCCGATCTCCCGGTGTATAATCCTCTCGTGTTACCAGTGGGGGAGGAACCCCCAGTAGCAGAGGTTATATATCAAGTGGAAGGGCGTTGGTGTGATCGTAAGCTTAGTCAATTGATTGACCCACATACTTTTCGTGCTATAAAGCTATCCCGCTTCCCCGACAGAATGTGGAGGATAAACTAATTTGGGACGACACGATTGATGGGATTTTCACGGTTAAATCGGCTTAGCATCTTGTTGTCTTACTGTATAAGCGTAGTGGTCAATGACGGTCCTTGGCTAGTTGGATGGATAGGACCAGTTGGATTCACTTGTGGGAGGCTAATATTCCTCCCAAACTGAATGTGTTAGTCTAGCAGATTTTTCACCGAATCCTCCCAAATACTGTAGCTCTTATGGAGAAGTATGTCATGATGCTTCCCAGATGCCCCGTTTGCTGGGCTGAATCAGAAACAATGGAACACTTGTTTCTCTATTGCCAGGTGGCATGCGCCTTGTGGGACTATTCTGGCCTGGAGTATCTGGGGCAAGGGTTGCCTCGTCACACGTTCCCTCTCTTTATAAAGAGGTTGTTGGCTTTAATACATCAACCTTCTCTGGTCATGGCGGTGGCTGCCATTCTTTGGAGGATCTGGCGGTCTCGTAACTGGGTTGTCTTTGAGGGCAAACAGTTTGGGATACCAGCCTTGATGCTTCAATTTCACAAACAGTATGATGAGTGGGTAGGTTTGCCGATGGATCGAGTGCCTCAGTCGTCCATCCCTGTAATGCAACACTTGGCCCCTGGGGAAACGAATGTGATAGAACCTGGAGGGAGAATGGGGTGATTTGTATGTGGGATGGGGCTACGAGGAGTGGTTCGCATTCAGCCGGTGGGATGGTCCTTCTGACCTCAGATCGGGATGTCATTATGGTTACTGGGATTCAATTGCCGGTTATTGATGACCCCATGGTGGTGGGGTTGCTTGTGCTCCGAGAGGCAATCTTATTGTGTATGGGCCACGGTTTCACAATAATTAGATTTGAAGGGGACGCTAAAGTGATTATTGAGAAGATTCTTCGAGCTAATACCAAAGATAACCGGATGGGAGCAATCCTTGAAGAAATCATGAGTTTATTGTTAGTTACTCCGAGTTTAGTATTAGATTTGTAGGTCGGTTTTGCAATAGGGTAGCCCATGTGGTGGCTAGAAAGGGCCTCTCTTTGTACCTGACTATGAATCGGTTCTTTGATTTTCAAACCTGGCTGAGATCCCGGATATAATTTGTCTATTCCTTTGAATCAATGCATGATTACATTTTGTAAAAAAAAAAAAAAGAGTATTGAGGTTGGGGAGAAGAGCCAAGAGATTCTCATATTGTCAATTTAATGAATTCAACGAAATTTGACGGTTAGTAACCAATAATGAAACGCATGTTTAAATCAAGTGACCACTAAGCAACAGAAAAAGTATTAGGGACGAGATGTGAAACAAATTGATAATGCTAGAGAACACGTATCATAGACATATTCTTATTTCTTAGTGGTACAAGAGGGTAGGTGCTGGGCATGGCTAGGAACGATTATAATAATCTATATTGTGAATCATGAAAGGGGTGGTGGCGCAGTTGGTTAGCGCGTAGGTCTCATAGCTTAAGAGTAATCCTGAGGTCGAGAGTTCGAGCCTCTCTCACCCCATCTTTTGCTTTTGCTATCTTTTGCTTGTGATTGAACACGATCATATAATCAAATCTCAGTACACCTCTTTTTTTCCCTGCACACTAAAGTTCCAGCTGAATTCCATTCTTGCTCCTGGAGAAAAACTTGGCAAACCCATTTCGGTTCTTATCAGAGCTACTATGCACAGAGATTTCGGGGATGTTGCTGGCATCTATCAGGAAGTCTTCAAGTGTTGCTAGAGATTTGAGTTGCTGCCCCAGAGACAATATTGTCTTTTGGCAATCTGCAAGCTTGCCCGCTGCTAAAGCTAGGTCCTCCTACCACCCACACACAAACGGATATATAAAGTGACATGCATGGAGATTGGAAGAAAAGAGAGATTAATGATAAGAAGGAACCTATTCTATACCTGTTTTATCTTTGATGCATTGTTCATGTTTATTGATTGCTGCTGGTGCTCGAACTCCTCTTTCTTCATGGAAAGCTCTTCTTCCAGGTACTGATACTTGATACTTAACTCTGCAGACATAGCCCTTTCCTTCTCAAGCTCGGATTCCAAGGTGGAAACCTGAGCTGACAAGGTACGATATTCTGCTTCCAAGCTCCAAAGATGAGATTCGACCTCTTGCTTCGATTCTTTTGCAAATGACAACTGGCTTTGGACTTCCTCTAACTTGAGTTGGACTTCCCGCAATCGGCTCGCTGATGCTTTATTCTTGTCTAGACTTGTAGTTAAAGCAGTTTCCATCTCTGCTTTTTCTGACTCTATTTCTTCCAAGTTACTTTCAACTTGGGCTTTCTCTTGAACGATTCTCTCCAGACTTTCTTCCAATTTAGCTTTCTCTGCTCTCATGCTCACCAAACCTTGCTCTAGTTCATCTTTCACTTGTTGCAGATCATTCAGCTTGGCTTCCAATTCAGCTGCCTGGCGAACGGCAATCTTTAGCTCATCTCTCAACAAGCTTTCTGCATGATCAGTCGACTGTTTCACAGCTGATTCAACGTGATTATTAATTTCCATTGCATTCTCAGGCAACGCAGCTAGCCTTTCCATATCGAGGAAATCATCCATGAGATTGATTTTAACAGCTGATGCTACCACCGGCAGCAGATTCCTGTTACCAACAGTCTTCTCATTCTTAAACTGATCGAGTTCAGAGATCAATCCATTGAGCCCGTCCCCCCTATCCGAATGGCTATCCGTGAGGGACTCAAGATAAACTGAGGAAGTGGCTGATGTTTTGTGATGATCATTAAGTGAGGAGGATGATCTAGAAACTAAGGGTTTCAGTCTTCGGCACTCAGCTTCAAGCTTGGCCACTTTCTTTATGCTCTCCAAATGTTGTTTGCTGGCCATTTCAGCAGCTTGAGTACTCAACTCCCTTTCGATTGTTCTAACCTCTAGTTCTTCAGATTGAGACAGAAGCTCAAGCCTTAGTGTTTCATTCTCTTTTTCTAAATATTCAAGCCTGTGATAGAGATCAGGGTTGACTTGAGGTGGTGACTCTGGTTTTGAAGCAGTAGCAGACCCTACATCTATCTTTAGCTGAAAAAGCTGATTCTCTAACTCAGACTTAATTGTTTCCCATTCTTTTGCTTTGCTTGCCACTGCCTCGCGTATTTTTTCTTCCTGCTCATCACGTGCCTGTCTTAGCTGCCTAACGCACTCCTTGAGGGCCCTGTCGAGATGGATTACTCGATCTTCAAGCTGAGATTTTGTTTGTGTTGCTGCTTCAAGCTGTTTCTGGACAACCAGTAATTCTTTCTCAGCCTTTTCCCAGCCTGCAACAGCTTCTTCACCAACTTTGGAGTGTTGTTTAACCAAGTCATCTTTCTGACTCACGTTCACAAGGGCTGCTGATAACTTCTCTGTTAAACATTTTATGCTTTCATTAACTTCTTTATCACCCCCATCTGCAATTTTGGAGATGATTTCAGGAGATTGACCGTCATCCTTAGGAGAAGCCTTCAGTGCTTCCTGCTTCAACCAGAAGAATATTATTAGGTGCCATAAAAAAGAACATGAAGTATTGGCCAAATGCATGAAAGAAGAGAGCATTCCTGTGACATGAGTAAGATGCTACTGAAGTTACAACTCTCATAGCATTTGAGGACCATAACCACAAACAATTTCCCCAAAATATACAATTAGTTATATCAAAAGATCGTTACTTGGAGGATAATTTCCTACCATCAATTCAAAGCTTTGAGAATAAGAGTTGTATCGATCACCTTGTAATCGATCACATCATTTCCTCTGGAAACCATTCAGAGTTCCACAATTTTGCAAAGAGAGCCTATTGCATCAATCATACTTGAACTGGAAAGTACATGGTTAATTGGTTACTAGGAATGAGGGGAAACTTTAGCAGTCAGAAACTGAGAAAATTGGAAGCAGTGTGAAATCCATGAAACGTTTATGCAACAATCCTACTTGAACTGGAAAGTACATAGTTACTAGGAATGAGGGGAAACTTTGGCAGTCAGAAACTGAGAAAATTGAAAGCAATGTGAAATCCATGAAACGTTTATACCTAATACCAAATGAAATGGATAATAAAAAAATTGGGCACGAGGAAAGGTGGAACAAAGTTCAAACCAACCTGGTCATCTGAAAACCTCTCTGAATGAGATGATATTGAACCCGAACTCTCACTCTCTCCACCCCTTTCTGAGGGCTTTTTCTTCCACAACCATTTCCTCTTCTCCATGAGTAAAATCCAGGAGCCTACAACCTACTATCTCATCCAATCGTTTTACCTGCGAATTCAAACATTGCGCAATTGTTAAAACTATCTTGTGCTTGCAGCAGAATCACAAGAACAATCCTAGGAACTTCATACCAAGAAGATGAAAAAAAAGGGGGATAATGCCTCCCTCCAGTCTATGGAAGAAGAAGAATTTCTCAGCAAGCTCATACATTAAAGTGTTTGAAAAGAAAGATCGCTTGGCTTAACAATCTACTAGCTTGGCTTCAAATCCAAACAACAACCACACAACACAATCCCAACAACGGCAATATCAGAAAGACAGAAACAGGAAATAGCAGAGTCAATAAAGGAACAGAAAGGTTAACTACGAAGTAGAAAGAAGGAATAGCGAGCTTCAGTAGCACGTGAAGAAGCACAGCAAAACCTATCAAAGGAAGAAAGGAACAGTCTTTTTCCTACACCACCAAACAGTAAAAGAACCCATTTCATCGAAAATAAATTGTGGATGGCAAAACCGAAATAACTAGTCACCTAATGAAAACCTAACTCGGGCTGAAATAACTAAACAACCCTCTCTCAATGGAACAGTAGCTATTTACCCCCGTACGGAGAAGCTGTAAGAAAGAAGGAAACCCCAGAAATGAGAAGACGGAAGAATCAACAGGAATCCCAACCATTTCAGTTCCAGAAGAAGTCAGAAGGCCACACAATGGTTGGTGTATGCATGAATTCCAGTGACCCAAATGAATCAAAATGAGAGATGCCCAAATTGCAGATTGAGAAATCCGACCCAGCTGCGAAGATGGAGAGAGGGAAGAGAATGGCCAGATTGAAGTACCTTACATGTTGAAGACCGGAGCTGAGCTTCAGAAAGGAACGGGGGAGGCTTTATTATCCCTTTGCTTAGAAATCTGCAGCAGAGTGCCAGGAAATGTCTCCTCCCCATATACAAAAGTTAACACAAGCAAGAACGCAAACAAGCTGCTACTTAATATGTCGAAGACGAGTTTTGGCAGATAATGTGGGCTTCTCTTTCTTGTTTTTAAAGCCCCACCATCTGATTCTGTAATGAAAACCCAGCTGAGGAAAAAACAATCAAAATGTAAGCTTTTTTTTTTTTTTTTGGTCCTGGCTTCAGTGGGGCTTTTAGGAAGATTGAAAATTGGGAATTTGGTAACTATATGATGATGAGAGGAGAACTCAAATTTATAGTTGTGGTTTGAAATTGAGGTGGACTTGCTTACTCCCGCCAGCACATGTGCGTAGAGCGTAGTAGGGATTTGCCTTAGGTTTCAAGCAAACAGTTGGGGCGTGTAATCGGAGACAATTATGTGTTGATGTCAGCAACTGGCAGAAAGCAACAATTTAGCGCTAAGATATTTAGAAAGGGTAAATTGGATGTTTGGTCACTGTGATTACTAAAAAGTGTTACATTTGGTCACTACAAATATTTAATTTCATTTGTGGTCACTAATATTAGTTTAATAGTTCAAGTTTGGTCACTCTCCGTTAATCTCCGTTAAATTTATCTGATGTGGCACTCAATTCTGATAGTTGACCGTTAAATGAGTGACGTGGCAATTAAAAAATAAAAATAAAATATATTGTAAATATTTATAATTTCCACCTCATTTTCATAACTAATAAAAAATAAAATTAAAAATCAATTTCTACACCTTTCTCCCTTGTACTCCCCTCCCGTCGGATTCCTTGTTTTCACGACCTATGCAAAATCAATCATTCTCTTCTTGACCTCCGATCCTCCGACTACCGCCGCAGAGGTCGGAAACTTCCTCCAATCATGCTGGGTGCCCTCCCAATCCTGGGCCAAATCAAACTCATGAAATCCCCATCCCACCAAACTTCCTCTAATCGTGTTGGGTGCCCTCCCAATCCTTGGTGGAGGAATTCTTCACAAAAATGAAAAACCCCATCTTGTTGGCCAACCGTCTGGGCTTCATAATGGGGAAGCACATGGAGTACGACAATACTTCCATCATCCGGATCTCCTATTGCGACTGCTGGCAAACTGTAATTGAGGCTTATAAAAGCCTTATCGGCACTGTACTCGCACACCAAAATCAATCAAACCGGTTTTCCTTCTCTTTTCTCAACTCGCAGTTCCCATCTTGTCGGATTCCCTATTCAACCGTCGCGGCTCCGAACCCCGATTCCCATCTCCTCGAAACCCCATCATCAAATCCCTATCCGAAACCCAGATTAAATGCCTTGTCTCGCTAATTGCTCCTACAGCAAGTTCAACGATGTCATCGACAACGTCGTCGCCCTACAGCAGGTCCTCCTTTCCGCTTCTCGGAAACTCATCACCTGCGGCAACGGGTCATGTCCGGCCGCCGAAAATTGCCTCCACCGATGGGTTTCCACGACACTCCAAACTCCATGTGTTAATCGCCGATTATGGGAGCAGGGGTCACGCGGGAATCGAATTATGGGGGGGAAGGCAAGTAATCCGATGGGAGGGGAGTATAGGGGAGAAATATGTGGTGATTAATTTTTATTTTTATTAGTTATGAAAATGAGGTGGAATTGTAAATAAATAAATAAAAATATAATTTAATTGCCACGTCACTCATTTAACGGTCAACTATTAGAGTTGACTGCCACATCAGATAAATTTAACGGAGACTAACAGAGAGTGACCAAACTCGAACTATTAAACTAATCTTAGTGACCACAAATAGAATTACATATTTATAGTGACCAAACGTAACCCTTTTAGTAATCATAGTGACCAAACATGTAATTTACCCTATTTAGAAATATCATATTTTTACGCATGTAAAATGTATCTTGTCCAAGTTTAGAACTTTTTGTAAAGATCAGTTGTTTAATTCTTTCTCATTTTCAAAACTATGACTCACTAAAGGAGTTCTTGATATGGGAGTGGGTGAGCTTGATGTTGAGGTTTAACTTTATTTCCTTCACCAACTAATTATCAGTATCCAAATTGTATATTCGACCCGGAATCATAGTTTACATAATGCATGCAATTTAACAATGCAAACTTAAAGAACATATACTCGGAAAGCTTTAGTTTAATATTTCTTCAAGCTTTGACTTATATAAAAATATGTTTCCTTCTTGCTAATTTGTCATTGGTCAATCGATTCTTCAACTTTGACTTACATGAAATAATTTGAGATTTTTCCAGAAATAGCACCTTTAAAAAAATTACAAAAATAGCACCCAGTCCATAGAAATTACAAAATAACACCCTTTTATAAAAACCGCACCTTAGAGGTGCGGTTTGATTGTGAACCGCACCCCCCAGGTGCAGTTTTATTGTAAACCGCACCCCCAATGTGCGGTTTAGCATTGTGGGCCAAAACCGCATCTTGGCCATGCGGTTTGTGTGTCTGACCTAACCAAACCGCATGGCCTAGATGCGGTCTTATGCTGACCTAGCAAAACCGCACTTTGGGGGTGCAGTTTTACTTCTCCAAAACAAATCGCACCCTCAAAGAGCAGTTTTGGCAACACAAACCGCACCCCCCCTCCCCCAATGCGGTTTGTGTGTCAATTATTTCTCGACACAAAACATATAACCATGCAGATTGACAGACGTGGGGCTGCATGGCAGTTAAAAACCGCACCTCTAAGGTGCGGTCTTCATTGACGATTTTGCCTATAAAAGACAGCCGGGGAAACCTCTTCTCTTCTGTTCTCACCTCTCCTTCTCCCTTTTCAAATTTCTATTGTAGCTCCCTTACTTCTCTAGAGTTTTTGCGGTTAACGTTAACTCGTAAGTATATTTTTTATTACTTGTCAATTGTGATTTGTAATTTTTATGATATTAGTTGAACTACTGTTTTTTTGCAGATGGCATTCCAAAAGTTCATGCTTGGGTTACGGTGGATTGGTTACATGCAAGAGAGCGGAAAGGCGGTCACCTACGTCGGTGGCAATTTTCAGAAAATAAAGGTCACTACCAGACCGATGCTTGAAGACCTCTATCAAATGTGTACTAACGTTACTTGCATGGATGGCACGAGAAGAGTTGATCGTATGGTGTATCGATATCCAAACAAAGAAGGAGGGTCGTTGTGGCACGAGGAATATCTCATAACCACTTAGGATGAAGTAGATGTCATGCTCGAATTCTTGAGGTCCAACAATCTTTCCAAAGCCGAGATGTTCGTTTACACCGAGCCGGTCGTAGCCGTTGGAGGTCATTCTGGAGACGGTCAAACATCTAGTATCCATGGTGGAGGTGAATTATATGGAGATCATCCCTACCAAAGTTACCATGATCCTCATTCCTATTTTCAGTACCAAGAGCAAAGTGAAGGTCATCATTAGTGATGACAATTTCAGCCCGTGATGGGGCGGGTATTACCCGACCCGCAGTAGCGTGGGGCGGGGCATGGGTATCTACTTTCGACCCGCCCTGCCCCGCCCCGTTCTAGACTCATTTTATCTCAATTTCTTACCATATCTATACATATTTCTCTTAATTTGACTTTTCTTCAACTAGTTAGAGTCGATCTTTCAACTTGTTAGGTTCAATTATCCATTCTATTATCAATATTTTTCATTCTTAAAGTGTTTTTCCCTACTTTTTATTGTAAAAAGTAAAATTTACTTGTATTTTTTTTAACAACATGTAAGATTGGGTCGACCCGCCCCACCCCGTACCCGCGCGGGTTTTACCCGCCCCGACCAGTAGTAGCATGCGGCGGGGCATGGGAATTGAGGTACCCCCCCCCCCCATTGCCATCACTAGTCATCATCAATCTTTCCCGTCATATGAAGAAGAAGTTCAACCGGACCATGGCAACCAACCCTAGTACAACTTCCAATCAGGCAGCGGTAGTTTTCACAACTACCATTATGGAGCATATGAAGGTGCCTTTCATGAGCTGGATCATATGGAAGATTCCCTTCCAGCACCAGTGAGTGACCCCTCCGATGAAGAAGGAGAGAACAACGTCAGTGCAGACAGTTCCGACCCTCTTGAAGGTGCTGATGATTCAGGACCAGAGTCAGACTCAGATAATGATGATGAGGTGGCTCATGACCGTTTACCAGTCCCCTACTACAATCACATTCCAGACGACAATTGGATGGTCGACAGCGACATGGAACCCCCGGAGGTTCCAATATGAGGTCCACTCACTGGGTTTATGAAGGGCCAATAATTTGGCTCGAAGAAGGAGGTGTGGCACGCCATTGATACCGAAGCAATGACTCGGCATTTTGAATGGCACACAACTCATTCCAACACGAAAAAGGCTCATAGTCAGATGTCGTAATCATACGAGGGATGCAATGTTAGGATTCGGGCCTTCAACAGCAAGAGACACGACCATTAGGTCATATCCCGTGCGGTGAACACACACACATGTGTGTCATCCATAACATCCCAAGGCCATCGACAGTTGAAATCCAGGGTGGTTGCTGCGGCTATCAAGCATCTAATTGAGC